CTGACCCCTTCAGGCCCACTCACCATTTTCAGGTTGAAGGTAGAGCTTGCTACCTGCACCTTTGTACATAGTGTTGGACCGGTATCGGGCCGATCGGCCCGTGAACTTGACCGGCCCGCTACTGTGCGGGCTCGACCCGGCTCGGGAGTCGGGTACCGATTCCGGGCCTAGGACCGGCTCGTGGAGTTAGGGCGGGGCGGTTCCGGGCTGCCCTTCCTTTGGAACCGACCCATCCGGGCCGGGCCCGGTTCGGGCCTTTTTTTATTTTTTTTGTTTTTTCAATTTTTTTTGTTTTCCCTGGATGGGCTGAGTGTTTGGGGGGGGGGGGTCGGGGTTAATTAGAAAAGCAAAAAAACTAGGACCGGCCCGGACCCGGTGGAAACCCGGGCCGGTTCCGGGCCTTCCCCCAACAATAAAATGCCCGCCTAGGACCGGAGCCTGGCCCGGCCCGGAACCGGTCCATGGCTATTTGCATGGGGTGAAATGATCTCAAGGAAGACGTGGTTCGTGCTACCTTTACTGTTTTGAAACAATAAACTATGCTCCTGGATAGTTTATAATGAATACTTTGTTTTGGGCCTGCGAGCCCACGTTTTGCCATATGTGGCCCATGATTGACTATTGAATACTTCCGCTATTTACTCTATCTTAAGTGTGATGTTTGTTATGTATGTTTACTTATTGGGTATAGTATGAACTATGTTCATGGACGCCTTGTACAATCAAGTGAATATGACTTGCGGGTGACGTCACTTGACGAGCACTTTGTCACGGTGCGTCAAAATAATTTTCAATACTAAACACTTATACGTAGTATAGCGTAGTAGAGTTCGTATCCACAGGGAAAAGAATAATTCTCTTTTTATGATACTTAGTAAATAAAAAGGGGGGATTTGGATTGAGTGATTTAATTTAATTAAGAACTAAGATGAACAACCTATATGTGTTTAATTCAAAGATAAAAAGGACTTGGCATTGCTACTTTCCACTTGTTGATATATTTTAGTCGATCATTGTTATATCTATAACTTATTCCCTCTCGAATACTCAATCATGGAGTATATCCACTTCATCGAGGATAGTTATTAACAACGACCGTTCATTAATAACCCTTACTATCAATCAAATATAGAACAACGCCTTATACCGATTTAATAGTAGCATTTAATCTTTCTAACTCCTTGATGAAATCAATTGAGATTGATAACCTCAACACAAGCGGTTTCGGTTTAATCAACAAAATTAATCCCTCTTAAGTTTATTAACCACGAACGTGCATTAATAAACCGAAGTTACTTACTTGTGAAATCATCAACGATTAACCATCGGTTCGTTGATCGTTTCTAGTAATAATTAATATATGAAACAAAACTAGTTGATCCTTTAAGTAATGCTCAAAATATTAATATGAAATAAGAGTAGGAATTAATTAATATTCAAGGGAGAATATTATTAAAGAAGATGAATCCTACTATAATTAATATCAAGATGTTAACTAATTGTCATCTTAGCAACACTCCCCAATATTAATATAGAGGAAGAAAATATCATTCTAACTAATGTCGAGATGTTAACTAATTGTCATCTTAGCAACACTCCCCAACATTAATATAGAGATGGTATTAAGGGAAGAACCATTAATTAAAATTCAAGGAAAGAAGTTAAGAAAATAACTCACAACTTTAATAATCAACAAGCTTCAAGAGCAACACCAAGAATGGAAGTTTAGCTCCTCATTTGGAGACTAAACATAGCTAAAATATATATAAAGAAATGCTATTCTAAACTGAGCTAAAGAGAATGGAAGAAGAGATGATTTTTTTGTGAAGAAAAAGTGTGCTATTTATAGGTGTTTTTCAACACCTTTGGCCGGGTACCCGACCGGGTCAAGTACTCACCCGACTGGGTCCGGTCAAAATCAGATATTTCCCCACGTTCTGGTGATCTTTGCACACCGGGTTGTCCCCGGTTACTTCTCGCCCGATCGGGTGAGGTATGGGGCCCGACCGGGCCCAGCTGTTTCCTCAGTGCTTCGGTTTTCAAATCAGACCCGACCGGGTGCAATTTCCTACCCGGTCGGGTATTTGCTCCTGGACAGTTAAAATTCCTTTTTCTTCACTTCAACATCCTCCTTTCCAACATCCTAATTCCTAATTCTACTTTAAAACTTACAAATGAGAACTAAAATACAATTACAACTAAAATCACACAAATGTTTACAAACCAAATAAAACGTCAAACAATCACCATCAATGAAACATAAAAACATACAATTATGCACTACTAATTAGTGTGCATCATCACTTGACTGTGCGTGTAACATTTGAGATTAATTTAAATGGATTGATAATACTACTCATATCAACAGATGTGCATCTTCTTTTAAGGGAGCTCATCACCCAAGAACTCCAAAGTTAAGCGTGCTTGCACGAGAGTGGTTTTGGGATGGGTGACCCTTTGGGAAGTTTCTCAGGGCGCACACGAGTGATGACAAAGTGCTCGAAAAAGGTTAGTGGCGGTTTGTGAAGACAGTACTAGAGGGCAGAAGTAACCGTCTCGGGTTTTGCGGGGTCGGGTGTTATAGGTGGGGTATCAGAGCAACTCTGCGACAGTGTGAGGGACAAAGTGCACGGAAAAGACTGGTGACAGTTTGTGAGGGTGTTACTGTGCGGCGGTTGTACACACACGTAGATGCGGTGTGGGGTGTGACACACCTGATGTGCTTTTATGGCACCCACTATGGGAGGTCAATGGATGTAAAAAAAATTAACCTTACTTGATCCCAACTACGCAAGGTCATTAATTGGTCCGTCAAATTGGTAGCTCAATAATGGGTGCTGACAAAAAATTTGTGACTAACCAATCAAAAAAGGCCATGTGGCATTTTATTTAGCCAACCTCATCAAATATTCCCCAACTCTCTAATTGCATTTATTATTCCTTAAATTTAATTAATGAAAAAAAATTATATCAAAAAATTATTTTTTTTTCCTCCATAAATAGACACCAATGAAGGATATTTTTAGTTACTTAGAAATTTACCACTTCTTTCCCTCTTGCATCTTATTTTATCTGTTTTAGAATATTTTTCTTCAGAAAATGGATCCAACTCATTCTCTTCCTAAAATTTTCGGCCAACAGTAAATAATTATAGTGTGTCAAATGTGGATTTTATATTCCCTTTTCAAATTATATACCAAAAATATGGAGAGAGAATGTACAAATTTTAAGTGACCTAGATCACCGTGGTGGGAGGAAGTGTGATAAGTTAGAGAGGATTATGTTTTTGGTGAGAAATGACGTGGAAGGGAGAGGAGGGAGTCAAAAGCTATCAGCATTATGGATGCTCTTAGAGTCATTTCATATAAACTTGAATTGTGGACACCATTACACAATCCATATCTTGATTACTATAAACTATGCAATGAATAACGCAGCAGGAAATGCAGGAAAACGCAGCAAAAGTGCAGGTAAGAACGCAACAAAAATGCAGAACTTGAAGGGAAGAGCATTGGAATAACCTTGATTGACATATTAACGAACACATAGTGTTCGATATGAACTTGTGCAGACCATAATCACAATCAAAGTGTTAATTAAAATAAAATATGAAGCAACAAACGGAGCAAAAAGCAGTCAACAAAACACATAAACGTGGGAGTATTTTGGATTTATAAATTATGGAGTAAAAAAGACACAGAAGAATCCCATGCTCACCTACGTAAAACTCAAACATTGTAGTACATTTTAATAACAGGGGAATAACGTCTGAGGATGAAATATAAAAAATGTAATAGTGAAATCATTAAACAAAGGACAAGGCGCAAGGAAGAATGCATAAATAGCACATATGGACATAACATAACATAACATACCTAAAAGGTTGATTATCAACTATCGTGAGAAGGAGATAAATGGAAGTTGAGGTTAAAATCTAACTAAACCTAAAATTCATGATTAATGAATTGATGACAAACACTACATTTTCTTCAACGGAGGGAGAGGAGAAGGATTCACGCGATGCGTCGTAAAAAAGTAAAACCTTGTGTGGCTGAAGAGCCGATATAGCAGACAACCTTAATAGATAAATAGGCGATATAGCGTAAACGAACTTAACACGTCATCTATAAAGCTAGACGGTGAACTCTAAAATTTGGAACGACAAATGTATGAGATACTCCAACATCACATGACATTATACCTTATAGCGTAGCTTGAGCATTAAATAACAAAAAGTGTCATTTATTAAGATGACTTGAGATGTCTTATTTGCACAAACAAAATAAAAACATACTGAAAAAATGTTATTTGTACTCACTCTTATACCCACCCACTTTTATACTCATTCTGTGACAAGTTATTTTTTGTATGTGAATCGTTCATAGAGAAAAGTTGTGTCTCTCACAGGGTGACAGTGATGGGTATAAGAGTGGGTATATGGTGAGTATAAACATCATTTTTCTAAAAAGATAATGTAAAATTAGTTCTTCCTCTACTCCTCGTCAAAGAATATTTCTAATTTTCTATCATATCCCATGTATATTGTTTAAATTACTATCAAATATTTATTTTTAGTTTCAAAGTTCACACTTATTGTAACAAACCTGATTGAATTTTAAATTAAAGTTTTGTAGACAAAATCCAATTTCATGAGCAATAAATTCACCAAATTTAATTAGAATTTTTTACTCATGGAATGGACTTGGCAAGATGGGACTCTGTCAATCTCGATGGACCCAAATTAGTAATAGTAAACTCTCGAATTATTACCCTAAATGGGACTAAAGTATTACCGAAATTCCTAAATGGCACTATGCATAATCCCCCCCCCCCCCTAAATATGACTGAATTACACATTTACCCCTTTTTTTCTTTCTGTACGCCGGGTACGCGCATCTCCTCCCCTGCGCACCTTCTTATCCCCCCTACACACTTCTTCTCCACACATCCCTTTCCCACATATATTCTTCTCTCCCCGCACATCTTCTTCTTCCCCTCCCCTTACGCACCTTCTTATCCCTTCCCCACACATCCCCTTCTTCCCCTGCACACAACAACAACCAAACCTAGAAGCTCAATCATAGTCATCGTCGTCGCCGATGCGAAGTCCGCCGCCGGAGATCTTCTTCCCTTATTCTTCTCTTGTTCTCTCTTCCCCTATTATATTTTGTTGCAGATGCTCTACTTCTTCTTTGATTGGTAAAAAAATGCCAACGTCAGCTCTGAAAATGCCATCAAAATGTCATTCTTATTCTACAAAAAAATTGTATTTTTCTTTCAAAATGCCATTAAGACGACATTCTCGAATCATTTTGGCATTCGCGCTGGCAACGACTAGATCTACAACGACAGAGGCCATATTTGCAGTTGCAGTTGCCGGATTAGCTGTGACGGTGGCCGGATCTGCAAAGACAGCGGTTGGCGGCCGGCGGCGGTCTGGGGTTTGTCGTCAGTTGTGCCAAGTTTCAGGGGCTTATCTGTCCAACTATAAATAATAACTCCCATTTGAGGAAATTTTAAACTTACTCCTAGTTTAGCTATTAAAGATGATTTACTCTGCATTTGGTGTAGCTAATACGGATTACGGATCCAAGTCATCCAATCACCGATCCAAATTACATACACAAGTTGACATTTGACAAACGACCGGCCTCCCCATCTCAGGCCTCCTCCTCCATCACCACCGCCACGCTTTACTGTAAGAGCTTATCTCCATCGACTATTATCTCAGCCCGCCCTCCGCGCCTGTATAACCATCGGTTCAAGCTCGAAGTTACTGGAAGTAAAAGAACATTGAAATTGGAACAGTGTATGTGTTCTATTGATTGCTTTCATTGTACTTCGCAAATGTTTTCGTTTTCTAGCTAAAATCGGGACGTTTAAAGTAAAGAAGCCGTTTTGCTGGCTTCTTTTGCGAATACCTTGTTATAAGGCAGGGTGAAGAATGACAAATCCCTGGGAAAATACCGACTTTTTGAAATTGAGTGAATTAAACGATTAATAGACTTCGAATATAACGTAATCCAAGTTTTAGTTGCTGCTAAATACGGAGTTTGGGTTGTTTATATCGTTCAACAGCATATTATATAGCACTTTTTCATTTTTCTCCCACTTTTATAGAGGACAGAAACACTATGGAAAGTCTGACCAATGAAAATGCTGAAAAAACTTCTCAAGAAAATCGGGTTACTTCCACCTATGAAGTTGCTATGGAAAAACTTTCATCTCTCATTACCCAGAAAAAGCGGGATGGTACATCACCAATCAGTGACCTTGAGAAACGGGACAGGATGTTGAAGTATATTGAGGTAAACTTCCTTCTCGGATTATAGATGAATTGACTGAGACAATTTTTGCATTAATCTGGTAGAGCTTTTCTAGGCATAAAAGCATTTTCAGTCCCCATATAATATGGACATCATTCCATCCCTTTCAATTGCACTATTTACTGACGCTCAATCTTATCTGAATATGAGATATTCAAATGCCTATTTTTTGTTTGGATTTTATCCCTAGTTAGGCATATTGTTGGATTCATCATTTATGCCAGGCTTAATGTTAGTTTTTGAAGTTTAAATGGGGGAATCTTAAAGAGTTCATTTTCCATTTTGGCTGGTCACAATTTTATGTTGAAGGCCCCTTCTCCCAAGCTATTTAACCTCTACAGAGTTAAGCTCTCTCTTTTGTCTATTCTTCCAATACAAAGATAGAACCATGCCATGAAGACCCACCTACATCAATACTCACTAAAATTCTCCTAATGTAATTATCGGATTCTAAATTATCTGGAAACATACTGTCACATATTTCTCATCTTCAATATCATCCTTTTTTCCCTATAATATGTTAAAGGACTAGAGTACTGCCTCTGTCCTTTAATAAACATCACTTTTCCTTCTTTTGTTATCCCCAAATAATTTTCCCATTTGTTTCTATATACATCTTAACCACACTAACTCTACTTTTATGCCAAAAGGAATGGTGAAGTTCACTCCTGTCCTAAAAGAGTACAGCTTAGCGTCTATAGCTGTACTCATCACATGATGTTTTATTTCCTCTTCTCGTAAGTAGTTACTAGTAGCTTGCAAGAGTTAGTATATTTGTAAGCTTTATATTCTAATTTATTTAACCAAGTCATGAATAGCTTTATATTCACTGAACTTTTTGCAAGCTGATACATGTTCATAGTTTATGAGTCTTGTGTAGTCATAAAATGTACCCCCTTCGTCCATATATTTTTCCACTTTGCAGATTATGATGAGGGCCGACTGAAGTTATGTAAAACCCAATTTTTTGTACACTAATTTGTTTAGTTTGATCTGAATAAACTAAATTTACTTATCTTAACAATTATACAGAAAAAGTGTGACTCAACCTGTCCTATTGTACGTTCTCACTCTCCCAACAAGACAAAGCTCAACCTGTCCTAATGATTTTTTTGTATTAAAACGTACATCAAAAGCACGATTAAACAACTGATTATTTGAGTATTTTTTTTAAATAGGTGAAAAATAAGATGAAGTTATTTACCAATGAATAATAACTATTCTTCTATAACATATAAGATTATCTATTTTATGTTCTTATTGTTATTTTTATCTTATCCATTTTATCTTACCTTATCTTTTTATTTTTCTTATCCTTCTTCTCTTTTTGGCTCTGATGTTATGGACTGATTCATGTTAGCCGACCCCAAAATCTTTTGGGAATAAGGCTTGGATGTAGTAGTTGTTGTCTGTAACATATAAACGTGATAGGAGTATGAAAAAATATAATGGAAAGAAGAGTTAGTTTAGCCACATGCGTAGTTAAAGCTTATCAGGAACATATCAAGTGAGTATGTTTCATAGTCTGGCCTGAGATTGAAGCTGCATTTTTTGTTTTCAGATTTTGGGCTTGGAAAAGCACATAGGTGATCTTAAAATTATACATGTTGCTGGAACCAAAGGAAAGGTATATTTTCATCAGCATTTAACAGTTATGTTTTGCTATCTTGGGCTTGGAAGAAGCCAGATATATAAACCTTTTTTTAATTTTCTGTCTTATTTTTATGGATGCATTATGTAGGGTTCGACTTGTGCATTCTGTGATGCAATTTTGCGGGAGTGTGGCTTCAGAACCGGTCTTTTTACTTCTCCTCACTTAATTGATGTGAGAGAGCGATTTCGTCTTGATGGGTATATAAAGTATTTTGTTAGAATATCTTTTCACCTATCCATGAGCTTTTCATCATGTTGTCAAAGAGCAGATGTCCAGCATTTAGCATTATACTTGAAGAAAGCACAACTTCAACCATTTTTCATATTTGACTTTTTCGAGAGGTCGATACTTGATATTATTTTTTTTTTGAAAAATAATTTATATGTAAGCGGTAGAGATGGCATTCTGCGCAAGTGATGAGGGAAAGGATACCTGTATTCAAAACCTCGCAACAAGCTCTTCTTGCATGCATGTATAAGATTTATTTATTATTATTGACCATTTTTCATCTTAAATTTATTTCTCTGGGGGTTAAAATGTGGAATTCTCTCTATTTTAAAAAATAAGTTTATGGATAGGCATCCCATTTAAAACATTTCCATTAAGCTTTTTTTTAAATGTATTGGGTTATTCTAGACGATTTTTTCATGTTGCACTTATTTCTCTGGTTGGTAGAAATGTTGAATCTTTCCTGTTTTAAAAAATTAGTTTATGTGTGCAACAGGATGGGCTTTTGGCATAAAACATTGTCATTGAGTTTTTTTTTGCATGAAAGTATGGGGTAAATCAGTTTTAAATATTAATCAACATTATGAATTTCACACCACCTACCTTACTGGACAACTAGATGGGATTAAGGTGCTGATAATACTGATAATGTTGTGTATCCCACTTGTGAAAATTTATTTAGTTACTAACTTACTATTCATTAAGCTTTCTTTAATTCATTGTACAGGCTGGACATATCAGAGGAAAAGTTTCTGCAGTATTTTTGGGAGTGTTGGAACCAACTGAAAGTATTATTTCATTCTCGTATCCGCCCCACCCCCACATCTACGTATTATTTCACTACCAGTTCTATTCCAAGTTTCACCATGAATAATATAACCAAGTAAAAGAATCATGAAGCTTTCTATGCAAGATGCATTTTTACAATAACCAGAAACAGTTCTGGCTATGGTGGTCACAGTGCAATTTCTACTCTTCAAGGAGTTATTTTGACTGTTATAATATGATTGGGATTAACCATGTTTTATTAGAACTTATAAGTTCCTTGTATTGAGCCATTATCTTCAAATCCTGTCAATATGGTCACAAATTTTATTCACTTGTTACAAAATCGGTAACCATCTTTCTTTTACAGCTTGTAATGTTCACTGAGATTAAAGTACTCATAAAGCAGAACTTCCTTTGAATCCGATGACTTGGCACAATATTTGAATATAATCATTTAGTACTCAAAGGGACTGTGATAGATTGTTACTTAATCTAACAGTTGGCCTGCTCAAATCCATCTAATGTTGCAGGATAACATTATGGAAGGCTTACCTATGCCCCTTCTATTCCAGTTCTTTACTCTATTGGCTTTCAAAATTTTTGCATCAGAGAAGGTATTTATTCTTATTTGGTTTGTGGTCCTCAAAATTTCTGAAGGATAGTAGTAAAACCAGAAAAACGTGATCCTTCCAGTTCTATTTTATCTTCCCAAGTTCTCACTGACAAGGCGCAACAATGTAGGAGATGGTATTGGTACCAAACAAAATACCGTCTTCTTACTGAATAGACTTTATAATTTCACAGGTTGATGTTGCTATCATTGAAGTTGGAATTGGAGGAACCTTTGACTCAACAAATGTGGTAATAGATCACTCTTCATGCACAAGTTAACTGAATAAACTGATTATAGTGTTATTTATAGACTATAGTATGAGTTTCTACATCAAACAATGTCTTGGATATAACATAGAAGTTAAAGCAGTCTCTAGCTCAACTGATTCACAATTAACTTTTCAGATAAAAAACCCTGTTGTTTGTGGCATTACTTCTCTGGGAATGGATCATTTGGAAATATTGGGCAAGTCCTTTACTAGCCATCTTTCTGCAACATCGTTCTTTATGCAATCTATGGGTTCATTTTACAATAAGCAAGCTAGGTTGCTTCCTCTCATAGTAACATTTGAACCCATCTAGTGCTCTCCTTAACTGCAGCAGAATACTCTTCTGTCATGCTTTGGATTTTAGTTGATAAAAACAGGTTTAGCACCTATTTTTAAGCAATTGCATATGCTATGTTTCTAAAAATATTGTTCAAATATGCAGGACATACTCTAGGCATGATTGCTTCTCAGAAAGCAGGCATTCTCAAGGTACAGGACACATAAGCAAACTCAAAGAAATACAATAGTACATAATACGATACTATGATGTGTTTTGTATTTACTAAGGTGTTCCGTGTACTAAAGAAAATTAAGTTTCATTTTCCATGGTTAGCTGAATTATATTATCTCGTGTGCTCGAATTCCTGAAGCCTCAAGTTCCTGCTTTCACAGTACCTCAACCTCAGGAAGCAATGGAAGTTCTTTATGACAGAGCAAATAAATTGATGGTAAATTGAATGAAATGTATTCAGTTCATCAACATGGGCATTATGTTTCTATTTCAATTTTGAAGCAATATGCTAGTAATTCCACTCATTACTCAGATATGATGCCTCATCACACTGGTATAATAGGGAGGCTGAGAGGGGGGGTGAATGCATAGCTACTTGCATTTCATTTTACATTGCATATTCTGCTCTCTTTAATGGGTGTCTCATGTACCACGATTTGCACATTGATTTTGCAATGCCAATCTTGTATTGGGGTATGTATGAGTCTATAACTACTTATCTCAACTTCTCGTTGTCTCCTCATATTTTTGATATGAGAGATAATGACTTGTGGTGATGATTTTAGAATTTCATCTCTTTATTTCTTCATAAAAAAGTTGCAAGTTTGCAACGAGAAGGGCATCTGACATGAAACTTTACCATTGCGTTTTTTTGCTTAGATTTAGAGTGTTAACCTATTAACTAATTTCAGTTAATTATTCAACACTGTAAATTTCATGCACTGCCCACCTACCCAAAGTAGTTCTGTAGTTGGGATCAAGGCGATGATGATGATGATGCATTGTATGTGCTCTGCACCTGCAGGCACACATAAAGAAACTGAACTGTGAAACTGTTTATTGGCTAAAAAGTAAACTGACATATGTTCTGTGCACCATATTTGTGGTATATCAGTATACATGTAAAGGCATTGAATTTGTTTTTACTAGTTATCCTATTATGAAGGTTCCACTGAAAGTAGTCGCTCCGCTTGACCGTAAGAAGATGTTAAAAGATGGAAAGCTGAGCTTGTCAGGTGATCACCAGTTCACAAATGCTGCCCTCGCCATATCAATTTGTAAAAGCTGGTTAAAAACTACCAGATTGTGGCAGCCTAAAAATGTTGGTTGAATCTATTTATATTTTTGCGCTATATTTTTGTTAGTTCATGTACTACTCATAGAAAATGCCGATATGTCAATAACGTGTATAATGACTAGCGCTGCTATATTAAATGAGCCAGGATAGAACTCCACTTGACTTGCTTATTTGTGATAACAAGTTGAGCTGAAGTTTGATCTAAGATAGTACTGGTTGTAAGTTGTATTGGTATATGCACTAATGCACATACAATTGACTTTCTCCGAATAGTATAGTGTCTATAGTAGTGCTATATACACATATAGTTGACTTTCTCTGAAGACTCTGATAGCTAAAGTAAATTTAGCTTAGGCTTCCAGATATGTGTCCATTACAACTGATAGGATACAGCATACGTAGAACGACTCATTTGGGTTTTAGAAAGTGAAACAGAGGCCAAGACCTAAAAGTGATTTTGGTGCTTCTTGATCACATTGCTCCTACCCTTGAGGATGGAGCTAAACTTTAGGGGTTGATCAAAACTTGAGTGAGACAAGGCTAAAACTCAATACCTCAAAAGATGAAAGTAGTACTTAAAAACAGTTTTTTAGAAGTACTGCATTCAACTATTAACATTTCTGTAACTTCTCACAGTACACTTTGTAGAGGTTTTGGTCAGCTGATCTTGTACTCAATATACACCTTAATTTATACAACATCAACCCCTAAGAAGATGCGTGCTTGTAATACTGAAATACTGAAACCAATATAACATGACTTCTTTTTAGGGCAATATGAGCACTGCATTCAGAAAGTCTTAGAGTCAAAGTCATTATGACAGTAAAAGTGTCATCCGTGCATAAACTTTAAAATCATAGCTTTATTTTGATTGAATTGTACAATGTATTTGTGCTGGGTTTACGATGAATATCTTATTTTCTTGCACTTAAACCATACTAGTATTACTTTTGCTGGGCACTACTATATTCTTAGGAACGTTTAATCATCCGAAAATATTTTTCCGAAGGTATCCAAGGAATAATTTCTTCTGCATTTCACTTATTCGTCTAAGGAGGCTGAAATACCTATTTCTCCATATGCACAAAGCCACAAACCTATTAGTATTCCCTGTCCTTTCATTCTTATTACTTTTTTTTCATCTCAAATCAAGGCTGACTGGGAAGAGACTTTGCCCGACGCTTTTGTCACTGGCCTTTCAAGAGCACATCTTTCAGGTAGAGCTCAGATTGTTCATGATGACTCTATAATAAGTACATCTGGAATAAATGAAAGTTACCTTGGAGGTTTAATATTCTACTTGGATGGAGCTCACAGTCCTGAGAGTATGGAAGCCTGTGCCAGATGGTTTTCTACTGCTGTGTTAGAAAATAAAAACTTATCCCTTTCATCTTCCTGCTTTAAAAATCAAACTCCAAAAAGAGTTGGGGTTGATGGTTGCATTCCACCTGGTGACAGTCAAGAATCCTTCAAAACATCAAAGGTGAAATCTCAATTTTCAAAAGGACAATTTCATTGCATGTTGCAAGCTTCCAACATTATTCCCTATATCATCACATACAACCTGATGTGCTTTATTTGTCTAACTGCAGATTCTTCTGTTTAATTGTATGGATGTACGAGATCCACAAATTCTTCTTTCACGATTGGTCAATACATGTGCTTCATCAGGTATGTAACAAATGCAGGACATAGTTACTTGTCTAATCGCTGATGATAATGTTTCTCTCTGTTAGAGAGAGAATAACTATAGACCCTTTTTGAGGGTGAACGATTTGAAGCCCCACTGGCTTGTAAGCTCTGTAGTTGCTTTCTTTTGCTTTTGCATTGTCTTTTTTTCAGAAGTATGATAGTTAGCTGTTTCTTCTTGGGCTAGTGTTTAAGCTCTCTTTTCCGGGTACAAGTATGATAGCTAGTCTGGATAATAATAACTTTATGTCCAAAAAGGCTATAGAATGTATGATTCTATGTCTGATCATAGGATGACAGGAAGCATTGTAGTTCGAAGGAAGTGTTTGTTGCTGTTGCAAGGCCCATATCTTATGAGTTATTAGCCATTTGGCTACAAATTTAATCGGTTAATGAAGCTAAATTGCCTTTTTTAAATGAATAATTTTATCCGCTCGCATGAAAAAATGAACATGTGCCCAGAAACAACATCCTGGGTTAAATTAGCATTGTTATTTGGCCAACTTTTACTTTCCGAGTTTCTGAAAGGTATGTTCAGCGTATGTTCAGAAAGGTATGTTCAGCGTGCTTTACAATGATAGATTCTTCATCAGTCCGGAACTTTATAATGATGTCATGAGTTGAGTGCATTATTCCATTATGGTTTCTTTACAGGGACTCACTTTTCAAAAGCTATTTTCGTACCAAGTATGTCCGCATATGACAAGGTTACTTCTGGGACCTCTAGTATTCCGTCAAACCTTCCTCAAAAAGATCTGTCATGGCAATTCAATCTTCAAAGAGTATGGGGAAGTATTCATTGTGAAAAAGGTAACTCCAGATTCAACATCACTGACAGAACCATTCCCATGATATCTATTACTTTTCCTCTCATGACTAAAATTTTTAGGCCAAAAATGTCACTTTTCATAATGCTCTCTAAATGATCCGTTTTGACATGTCTTAGTATTTAACATAAAGTGTCACGTCACAGGTCTACAGGAGTTGGGAGTAGTCCATGTCCATTGCCCCCTCCAATCTTCCTTGCCTGCCCATACTAACATTTGCAGTCTATTAGAATTTGGCCAATGTTCACCATAGCTGATTCTTATCTATTAGTTACCGCAGCTGTACTGGACAAATCTTTAGCCTTTAGGGGTGTTCATTCATTTTGTATGCTCAGGAATCTCACATTAAGTAATCAAATATTATATACTAGTACTTTTGTTTGGTTCACCTGAATGTAAAATTCTTGATCATAATGTGAGATTTCAAATGCAAGTCTTTAGTTCATTTATGCCACATACCATGGTATCGCATTCCCACATTTTTTGCGAGTAATGTGAAATTACCCACAAAAAGTGATTCTTATCTATTAGGATGTTTTTACTTGGACTGTAATTCGTCCCAGACCAAACTAGATCAGACCAGACCAGTTCAAACCAGACCAAACCAGGATAGTTATAAAAATACAAAGAAACCAAACAAGTTCAGTCCAGACCAGACCAGCAAATTACAGCCCAAGTAAAAACATTCTTAGTTACCGCAGCTGCACTGGACAAATCTTTAGCCTTTAAGGGGTGTTTGTTCATTTTGTATACTCAAGAATCTCACATTAAGTAATCAAATATTATATACTACCTCCGTCCCAAAATACTTACCCAAACCTTAAAATTTGGACCATGATTTTGATTAGTACAATATTATAAAAGTTATAAATTTTATATTTTTATGGAATACTTTTAACAAAGAACATTTTCATGTCGTTTTTATATTATAAATAATTTCCAATATATATATATATATATATATATATATATATATATATATATATATATATATATATATATATATATATAATACGTCAAAGTTTTGAATTTGACTAGTATTTCACTATTTTGGGACGAAGGTAGTACTTTTGTTGGGTTCACATGAATGTAAAATTCTTGATCATAATGTGAGATTTCAAATGCAAGTCTTTAGTTCATTTATGCCACATACCATGGTATCACATTCCCACACTTTTTGTGGGTAATGTGAAATTAAGAATAAGATACCAGGGAGTGTATCAACATTGACCAAACAGGCCCTTATTTTTACTAACACGAGATATTTTTCGAAACTCGAGAGGGTCACTGGCAAGATAAATTCATTACTTCATATAGCTATATCTAGATGTGATATACTATAACCATATTCAAATAGAAGAAATGGCTCCACATATATGGAGGGAGTATCTTGATTCATGTTTGCCGATCCCACACTCTTCTGACTAAGGCTTGGAATTGCAGTCACAAAAATCCGTAAGAATTTCAGATCATTTCCAAGATGGTAACTCTCTCTATATATATAGGGTGCAGTCCAATGAAAATGATGCTTAACGTGAAAACGTGAGAACACTCACATTTATATCAATGTGGTGCAAAATGGAGCTCTTTTGTTGCACATTTTTAAATTTGTCAAATTAAACCAATATTAATTAACACGATGACATTTTATAAATATTATGACAACCCGAAAAAGTGCAATAGACGGGTTCCGTTGTGCATCACAGTAGAGTAAATGTGGTGTCTTACGTTCTCATGTGAAGCATTTTTCTCATTTGATCTATATATATATATATATATATATATAGGAAAATTCTCAGGTCCAGCACCTCCCGGTCCGAACGCCGTCCGAACACCGCCGTTTGGGGAGGTTCCTGGTGGAAGTTTTTGATGAAATTTTTTGAGCATGTTACTCATCAAGTCTAGTTTATCCATAACAAATTTCAGCTCAAAATTCGATCGGGAAGGCAGTCAAATAATTCGTTGAAGTTAACTGCGTTTTTCTATGTATAATTTGGCGCAGTTAACTTTAACGAATTATTTGACTGACTTCCCGATCGAATTTTGAGCTGAAAATTGGTATGGATAAACTAGACTTAATGAGAAACATGCTCAAAAAATTTCAACAAAAAATTCCACCGGGAATCGCCCCAAACGGCGGTGTTCGGACGGCGTTCGGACGGAAGGTTGCTGGACAGGAGAATGACTCTATATATATATAGATTTTGGTTCAAATGAGAACAAGTCTTAACGTGAGAACAAGTCTTAACGTGAGAACAAATCCTAGCCTCCCAAAATAAGTTGCGTTCTGCGATCAAATATATGGTGGATGAGGGCATATACGTCTTCTTCTGTCTTGGCAGTTTATTTGACTGATCGAGCAGCTATGCGTTCCACATGTTTAGTAAGGAAATAATAAACTGCATATCATACTCCGTATTAATTGTTTAAGTTTATTGCTCACGTCAATTTACTTGTCTGTTATGGAAACAAAACATTTTTTTTCTTTTTATAAAACTTTTTCGGTCAACCATCATCTTCTCTAGTTTTCTCTGCTACAACACTGACACTACATCAAATTAATTTGAAATTCCTGAAAATTAGTTCACCTCTAAGCCATAAATCTCATGTAGCACAGTAACACCTTTCTTAATGCACAATAAACATAAACAAAATCAGTTCATCTCTTAATGCACAAATAATTTACAGTAGCACCCATGAGCCAAAACCAGAATTGTTATTTCTTCAAAATCAGTAAGTTCACATGTCGTTTTCTATTATCACAAAATATCCTTTCAGATGCAATTCCACATGACGCTACAACTTAATTTGAAATTCCTGAAAAATCAGTTCTTCTTTAAGCCATAATCTCGTGATGCACAACATACCGTTCTAAATGCACAATAAACCTAATGAAAACCAGTTCATCTCCTACTGCACAAATAATTTACAGTGGCACACATGCAAGCCAAAACCGGAATGGTAACTCTTCATAATCATTAACCTCACAGATCACTTTCTATACCACAAAATATCATCTCAGATGCAATTCTACATGACACTACAATAACTAAATCTGAAATTCATGAAAATCATTTCATCTCTAAGCCAGAAATCCCGTGATGCACAACTCATAGATTGTTGTTCACTTGCACAATAATCTCTTCTCTCAGCACTTTTTTGTTGGTTTAATTCACGCCGGCCAATCCACCTTGTATATCTGAAACTCAATTTCTTCTTTCCATATTGGAACGTGCTTATTTTTGTCAATTTAATAACTTCTCTGGATCTTACGTGATTATGGCTATTTTTTAGGAAGTAGAAATTGAAAGACGCCGCCCCATAAAAGACGTGTGCATTAGTGAATTACAGTTTTGCCCTTTATTAGAACCTCGCCCCACTTTTCGTTTATGTGAGATATTTTAGCATGTGATGATGTCCATATTTGTGTCGTGCGCCAATCACCTTACAACCGCCCATTTAATTAGATGGTGGGTTATGATTTGTTCTTACGTTCTCACGTTCTCACGTTAAGCATCGTTCTCACTGGAACCGCACCCTATATATATATAGGGAACAGTTCCAATGGGAACCATGCTTAACGTGAGAACGTGAGAACCCTGCACATTTAACACAAGTTGGTGCACTATGAGGCTCATCTATTGCACTTTTTTAACTTTGGCCAAAACGTGCCAACTTTAAATAAATGTGGAGGCAGATTCGTAATTATTTCGTTAACACGAAAATGGGCAAGGTATAAAGGATATAGTGCATCACATTTTCTTAAAAGTTGAGTTCTCATGTTAATCGAGAAGGCAGTCAAATGAAGAACATGCTCAAAAAACTTCATCAAAACATTCCACTGGGAAGGCCCCCAAATAGGCCCAGCCGAACGGCTGTCCCGGTCAGGCCGGCCTGACATGAAGATCCATCTATCTATATCTATATATACATGTATATATACACACACATATATATACATACATACATACACACATATATATATACATATATAGGGTAAGAATCAAATGAGAATACCATCTTAGGAGAGAAATGAGAATGATTCTGGCGCGTTGGATTTGAGCATTGTGCATCATGTAAAACAGAAACGTGCATATAGGAAATTGGAAACTGTGCATTTCGTCTGTGCGAAATATTAAACGTAAATGTGCACATTAGAATTTTGCATTACTTTAACTATAAATGTGCAGTTTTGTGAAGGATAAAGTGCATCGATTTGGAGCGTTCTCATTTCTCACGTTAAGGAGTGTTCTCACCGGAACCGCACCCTACATATATATAGATGTATATATATAGGGAGAGAGAGACGTTCAGGTCCAGAATTCTGGATTAGAACCTCCGTCTGGCCTATGTGGAAGTGTGTATAGAGCCCTGAACTTTTTAAAAGGTGCAAAAAAACCGTCATGTTCCTATACAACATCCAAGCCTTAATTCCAAAAGATTTTGGGGTCAGCTAACATGAATCGATCCATGATATCGATGCCAAAAGAGAAAACAAACAAGAAGAAGATGAAGAAGAAGAAAAAGAAAAGGAAAAAAAGTAGGATAGAACAGATAAGATAAAGATAAATATAAAATAAAAATAGCATAAGAATATAAGAAAGATAAAAGGTAAAAGGATAAAAGAGCATAAAAAGATAAAGAAGATACACGATAAAGGAAAATGAGAGAGAAAAAGATAAAAAAGAGATCAATCATCCACACGAATGTGCGCGCTCCACCTTGCTCCTTCCAAAGCCATACTCTCATCCAACTCAAGAAGACGCATATCAGTTCTGATTCCTCTAATCCAAGTCTGTTAAGGTCTTCCCCTACCTGTCCTCTCAGTGTCTTCTCCCCACCCCTCGATTCATCTAACATGTTCATCACTCGGTCTTCTACGCACATGCCCAAACCACCGCAAATGAGACTCCTGCATCTTATCTTCTATAGGTGCTACTCCCACCTTTTGTCTGATTATCTCATTCCTCATGCGGTCTTTTTTGGTATGTCCACACATCGAACGCAACATATGCATCTCTGTCACACTCATCTTTTGAATGTGACATTGTTTCACCGCCCAACACTCTACGCCATACATTAATGCATGCCTAATTGTTGTTCGATAAAATTTACCTTTTAGTCTAGTCGGCATACCTCTATCACATAAAAATCCTGATGCACTCTTCCATTTCATCTATCTAGCTCTAATTATATGAGATACATCTCCATCTAATTTTCCATCCTTCTGAATTATGGAGTCCAAGATAACGAAACATATCACACATCGGTATCTACTTACCATCAAAAGTAATCCCACTGTTGCTACTACTTCTACCTCCACTAAACTTGCACTCCATGTACTCAGTCTTGCTTCGATTCAGTCTGAAACCTTGATCTTCAATGTTTGTCGCCATACTTCCAACTTTGCTTTAACACCCGCTTGCGTCTGATCAATCAATACAATGTCGTCAGCAAACATCATGCACCACGGTATATCTTCTTTAATCGACTTTGTAAGTTCATCCATGACTATAACAAATAAAAAAGGACTCAAAGTCGATCCTTGGTGCACTCCGATAGTAATAGGGAATTATGTGGTCCTCCCTACACTAGTACGAACACTCGTAGTACAAGCCTCATTCATATTCATGATGAATATTCATATTTTGATTCATGTCATGTGATGTGACTAAGTGATATTGTTGACCGTCACGCGCCTACTATAACACCCTCCTCCTTTATCCTGGCTTGGGACATGCATGATACCAAAAAATGATCTTATGGCGGAGTTGTCATGTTCGTATAATGGGGCAAATTTACCGTTACTGACTTTAAATAGAAAAAGTAATTATAAAAAATTAATTATAAATTTGAAATTGAAAATTTTTAAAAAAATTAAAAATTTATTTGTGTCCAAGTATCCCTTTTATTTTTTTATATTACAATTTAATATTGTTAGTATAATATATTATTTTAAAATTTTACTATATATTTAAGATTCATACGGAAAAGTGTTAACATATGTGTTGCAATGTAAAAACATCATTAATTTTTTGTATTCTTTGCACTATAAAATTACTGAAGGCGGGGACGGGCTTGAGCCCACCTTCGTGGGCTGGTTGCGGGATGCTTAATTAATATTTATTCTTTTTAATTATCTTGATTTGTTTCCTATTATGAGTTAATTAGGATCTCTATTATTTGTTTCCTATTTAAAGTTGATTAGGATCTTTATTATTCTGTTTCCTAGTTGGAGTTGATTAGGATTTCTAGGATTTTGTTTCCTATTTGGAGTTGATTAGGATTTCTAGGATTTTGTTTCCTAGTTTAAGAATTAGTAGATGGGTATTTAAACCCCTTGTTAGGATTCATTCATGCTCATCTTGGAATAAAAGTTGGTTTTAGCCTTTTGGCTCTGGGCAACGGTATTTTTATCGTTGATTATCTGGGCAACGGTTTACCCCGTTGATTTTTATTTTTCTGCTACACAACATTTGGTCCGATCTGCCGGATCCCGTCCCGCCAGAATGACGAGATCTATCGGTGAACGTTTGTCAGAGATGGTGGCCAAGCAAACTCAAACCCTAAAGGAGCACAACATGCGTTTGTCAGAGATCGCTAGAGATCGCCGCATCCCTGGCAGCGCTTACCAAGGCGCTTGTTCCACCAGTTTTGACGGAAACAAGCTCGGACACGGTTGGCAGCTCCAACGTATCTGCGCACAACGGCGATGAACAGCCGCACAACGTCACTTCCTCATTGGCTGCACTCAAAAAGACTCTCGCACCGCCAGCGGCGGAGCATTCAACGGTGGTGACTTCACTCGACGCGGCAGCAGCATCCTCGTTCGGAATTGGTCTATGCAGCTCCTATCTTACGACGTTGCCCTCGTTTAACGAAGTAGAACCAATCAGCCGGTTTGATAAGGCTGAGAAACGGTTCGAATTGAATTGTGCTCTGCTGGGAAAGAAGGCGGCAGCCCTTGTAGTTGCGATGGAAGGGTCAGCCCTATACCGGTTGATCAGGATACAGACACGAAAGCCGAGCATGTCATGGGATGAGCTTACACAGGCATTGATGACTCGTTTTGACTCACAGTTTCAGGGCAATTGCTTTGAACGGCTGCCCGGAGCCAAGCAGACAGGGATTGTGGAGGAGTACATCTCAATTTTTTCTGAAGATACTGGGCAGCCCCCGGGAACAAATGTCAGTCGTTTTCCGAATTTCAACCTTGAGGACAAGGTTTTTTCGAAAGGGGATGGAATTGATATGAAGCAAAATCTGGGCTTGGAAGAACAGGGGCAGAAGCCTCCGTGGGTTTACTGAAGGCGGGGACGGGCTTGAGCCCACCTTCGTGGGCTGGTTGCGGGATGCTTAATTAATATTTGTTCTTTTAAATTATCCTGATTTGTTTCCTATTATGAGTTAATTAGGATCTCTATTATTTGTTTCCTATTTAAAGTTGATTAGGATCTCTATTATTCTGTTTCCTAGTTGGAGTTGATTAGGATCTTTATTATTTTGTTTCCTAGTTGGAGTTGATTAGGATTTCTAGGATTTTGTTTCCTAGTTTAAGAATTAGTAGATGGGTATTTAAACCCCTTGTTAGGATTCATTCATGCTCATCTTGGAATAAAAGTTGGTTTTAGCCTTTTGGCTCTGGGCAACGGTATTTTTATCGTTGATTATCTGGGCAACGGTTTACCCCGTTGATTTTTATTTTTCTGCTACACAACAGACACGTTGCTTTCGGGCGACGACCTAACGGTAGCGATATTATATTTCAATTCATGTGATATGATGTGATAAGTTATATTGTTGGCCATCATGCATCTATCACAACACCCTCCATTCTCAATATCTTAAATTATTATTGAATGCCAAGCCTCATTTCCACACCTTTGCTGTGCAGATGTTCATGTTCTTGACCATAACCCGCATATGGCTACCTCTGGAAATGTGCCACTGTGCAAATTTCTTTTTGAGGATGCTTCCTCTTGCAGTGAAGGAGATGGAAATGGTATTGGTAGTAGTGCTGTATTTCCTTCACTACCATCTGCAATACATTGGTTGAGGAATTGTGTCAAGGAAAACCCTTCTTCTAGGACTCAGGTAAATAAACAAACTATTTCTAGTTTGCAGTATTGTAGATGTAATGGAGTATGATGCAGAATATATGAGAAACGCTTTCATGCCCTGGTCCATGTACCACAAATGTAAATTGCTTGTAACTTTCTGAAAGGTAAAGCGTATGCTGCATGAAGTACAATGGCTCACTACTTGCGGTCTACACGAATTGGATACATTTCTATGGTTCTCTTTATGATATGCATATTATATTATATAACATATTATACTCCGTATAATATAGTAATAACAACCATTGTAGTATATCCACTTGGGTATCAAGGAAATTCAGTAATGAACTCTAAGAACCTCGTTTACTGAGACTTCTTATTCCAGGAGAAAGGGAGTTAGCTCTAAGGAATTGGGTGTGAAGCAGTGGTTTTCATGTTTGGAATAAAAGGTTGAGAATTATTAGGAGATTCCAGGACTAGGAGTTCCCAATTCCTGAGATTGAAGCTATCACATACCCTCATCCATTATCAATGGATTTTACCAAATTCCTGTTAATTGAGTAAATTCCCATCATTCCAATTTGGATTTTATGGATGTTTTCATTTCATCTAAGATTTTCCGTTAAATGTTTGGTATATGTGTATTTTATTATTGTCTACATTTGGTATATTTATGTATGGTCAGCTCTGATTTGAGATTGAAAAAGGTACAAGTAAAAACATCTTATCTAGTTCTGATCAGTTTAGTTCAGCCGACCAAATCATTCCTAACAAGGGCCTGGGAGGTGTGGTGATGATTAATAGAGTATTTCGGATGTGCAGGTTCTTGTCACAGGTTCGTTACATCTGGTTGGAGATGTATTGAGGCTATTAAGGAAGTGAAGTAAAAGTAACAAGAATTCTTTACACAATGGGGAAGTAAATAATTGTTGCAAAACGTATACGTACATGATGTGCAGCTCATACTACAGCATGTATTTTGCTGTTAAGTTAAAGCATCTTGGCCATTTTATAGATTAAATAAATGAATTGCAAATTTAATGATAGACATTCCTATGTGGTATGCAGTCTTGGTATAGGGCTGCTGCCATGTCTCTATTTACATGTACCAAAAAGTGTCCTTAATTACTCGAGTTTGGGTTATACAAAAGTTCTTCCAATTTTGGTTAGATAAATTATACTTCGGTACTTAATGTTTGGACGTATTGGTACATAAAATGGTACAAATGTATTCGTAATGGTATGATGTCCAGAAACACTTGGCAGATAGTGTTTTCAATTTTAACGTTTTGGAAACGTGGGGTTTCCTGGAAATGTTCTCGTAATCTCGTAGCCAATTTGTAAATGAAAAAAAAGATTGGGCTGCTTACGTAAATATTAAAGTGTACGTCTAGTAAAGTTTTTGTTTACACAGAATCATTTTATATCTTCAGTGAATATTTTTTTTTTCAAAAATAATACTTAAATAAAATTTAGGAAAAAATGTCTATTTATTCATACTTCAAAAAAATCAATCAAATCCTCTAACTTTGAAAAAGAGAAAATGCCCTAAATAGAAGTAATTCACTTTTGGAATGCGAAATTAATAAGAATAATCCCTACTTTTGGGGATTCTACAGTAATAATCCATACTGAGAGTGTCTACAAAAATAATCCGAACTAGCAATAGCAGGGTCGGGACTTGGAACCAATCCGAATTGAACCGAAATTTCCGGTTTGGTTCAGTTCCTATAATTTTGGACTTCAGCTTTTTCGGTTTGGTTCCTATAGTATTTCATCGGTTCTAGTTCGATTCTGGTTCTTAACCAGGAGCCGGACTTCTTATACATTGCATGAGTAATCTTCATTTGAGGTGCTTCTGGGTGGAATTTTTTGATGAACTTTTGTGAGCTTTTTGTTCATGAAATAATGATTATGTCCACCAAATGAGCTTAAAGTGTAAACGGGAAGCCAGTTAAATAAATTATTGAAAAGTATTACGCCAATATATATATAAATACAATGTTTTTCAATATTTTATTTAACTCACTTTCCGATTGAATTTTAAGCTAAAACTTGGTATATATAATCTACATTTCATGTAGAACATGCTCATAAAATTTTATCAAAAAATTCTATATGGAAGCACCTCAAATGGAGGTGGCCAGACGGCATTCCGGGCAAAAAATTCTTGTCAAAATATTTGTTTTGCATAATATGTCTTATATATTGTGGACCAGGCCAATCCGAGTAGTTATTATTTTGATACTTTAGTCCACTTTTATATTTATTGTTTGTTTGTAATTGTATTTGTTACTAGAGTTCACCTAAAAAAGGAATTAATATTCTGTTGATTGTGTTGTTTATTACTACGTACTTTTTACTTATTGTGCATTAGTAGTAGAAAGATATTATTTTGGGGTTGAACTACCTACTATTGAATGTGTACTTTGGAGTTATTTAATCTTTTTGCTTGACAGTTGATGCCTATTTTAAACGAGATTTTAGTTATGTTTAGATTTAATGTTGCACTTGCATATTTTTTTTATATTTGAACATTGAGATATCATGCATGTATAATGTAATGGTCATAATTACATGATTTAAAATTTGAATTTTGTATGTAACTGAAGGTAAAATGTGTTCATTTTAGGAGGATAATAAATTTTTATAAGGAACCGAAAAAAGGTAAGAATCGAACCGAATTTAACTAGAATCGAATCGAATTTAACAACTACATTTTTAACTAGAACCGAACCGAACTTAACGCCTACGATTTTTATACGGTTCCATCAAATTTTAAAAAGAACCGAACCGATCCCAAGCCTAAGCAATAGTGTCCACAAGAATAAGTTGGGGTGAATTCAAATTAATGCCCGTTAAATATTAGCAATCCTCACTCTCACTTTTCTCTTCACCACTCTTCTTATTGAAGTAAATTAAAACTAAAACCCGTTTAATCTTATTGTCATTTCCGCCAAATGTGGTTCTTTCTAGGATAGAAGATAGAAGTGTTACCCAAAAATAGAGTTGGACTCGGGTCCGGGCTGGGTCCGGGTCGGGCCTAGGCCCGGCCGGGCCGGCGGTTCAAGAATAGTGGACCCAGGACCGGCCCGGGTAGCCACCGGGTTCGGTCCGGGCCGGGCCTCCGGTTTGGTTTTTTTTTTTTTTTTGCTTTCCTAACCCCCCCCCCCCCCCCCCCTCACCCCCACCCTCCCAAACCCCCCCAAACCCATCCTACCCATCAAGCCCAACCCGGGTGGAACCCCAAAAATGAAAAAAAAAAAAAAATCAATTTGGCCCGGGCCCAGGCCCGGGCCCGACCTGGCCGGGCCGGTTCACCAAAATTGAGACCCGAGCCTGGACCCGCCCTACCCCCGGACCTAAGCCCGACCCGGACCCGGACCCAAGAACCGGGCCGGGTGGCCCGACCCGAGTCCAAGTCTACCCAAAAAGAAAGTGGTGAAGGAGAAAGTAGATGTAAAATATGGGAGAATTAAATGAGAAATAATTATAATTTACCTCAATTTATTCTTGTGGACCCTATTGCTAGATCGGATTATTTTTATGAATACTCTCGGTAAGGATTATTATTGTAGAATCCCTAAGAGTAGAGATTATTTTTGTGAATTTCGCCCTTTTGGAATTCTAAAATAGGATTATTATGTTTTCATTCTCAAAATAGGAGTCGTTACTCCCATGAATAAAACATACCGCCATGATAAAAAAATATTGTCATTAATTATAATAAATATTGTCATATTGAATGCATAGTATTGATACTATTTGACAGTTATACCTACAAGATGACATAAATAATGTCATGTTACTCCTATTTTGGGAAGAAAATATAACAATCCTATTTTGGAATTCCAAACCTCGTTTACTCCTATGTTGGGAAATCTCGGTAGGGACCAACGTGATGGTTTGCATGTGCGTCATGACGTCATGTCATTGGTAAATGGATGATTGTGCTTCCATGTGTGCGCCAATGCTAACTGGGTTGTCCCATGCTTGATACGAAGTATATTAGTAGGTGACTTGTTGAAGTTGCATGTAATCTACTAACGGATTCAATTAAATGTTTTTTCAAAGTTCTGGGATTTGAATGATCTATTAAAGGTACGATCAGTTAATTGACACTTTCTTGACATTAGAAAGATCTATGGTTTTTGAATCTCATATTGCTCACTAAGGGTCAAATTGGGCACTATGATTATATTTGAATCTCATATTGCTCACTAAGGTTTCAAATGGGATAAAGGTCTACTATTGATTACATGTGAATCTCGTATTAGCCACCAAGGTTTCATAATTCATAGTTTTTTTGGACACTCACGATTTTCTTTTTCCCTTTAATAAGAATCGTTAGTCTTATATTTCTTTTCCTTTTTTGATGTCAATAAACTAATTTAATTGATGTATATAATTTTGGAATATTTAATTTGACTACATCCAAGTGCTAAAATTAATATCTCATGACTAAAACAACCCTCTTACATGGTAAGTTATTTTTTTCAAAAGTAGTTTTGGAGTATCAAAACATTAAACTCCAAATTTATTTTTTCCATCAAAATGTTTGACTTTTGAAATCATAATTATTAGAAAAATAATTTGGGAAAAATTAATGTATAATAATAAAAGTAAAGCTTTAATTAAGGATATTGACAAACAACTCGATTGAATATCACAACACAATTCTAATTTCGACGAAGAGCAACTTTCTTGTGCTGCTTACGTCCGCCTTTTGTGAGGCTCTCTTCTTCGGCAGACCGCAACGCCTATATGGCGGCCAAAGCTTATGTACCGCTAGCAACATGTGGAGAATTTCAAGAATGTCGTTCATGGTTGAGATAAGAAGGTCATGGACGAAGCGTGGGGCTAGGGGCTGGAACAGATCTCGACCGGAGGCAAGAAGTGGAAGAAGCTACAATACTGTTGGATCGTCCACCTCCTGGACCGCCGCCATGGAGTGCAGGAGAGTTTAGGGTTTGGAAGCCGGATTTTAATTTTACTTTTTGCTTGCTATTTATTTTTCATGATCGGATTGTTTATTTTTCTATTGGTTACTTTTATTGTTGTAAGACTCTTGCATTAGGATTGGGTGATGGGAGATCTGCTTTAACCGTCGTGGGCTCATTTACGCCCATTATAGGATCAACGAGTTATATTGCTTTTTAGAGGTGGTTGACTCTAAGTCTGGTTCGAGGGCCGCCGGTTGCTTGTGGTCCTTTTGTTGTTTTACCCCCTATCTGAATGTTGTGATATCAATTTAAGCCATTCGTTTTGACGAAAAAAATGAAAATGATTTAATCTACCGAATTTGCTGAAAAAATGTCACCAAATATGTCTTGAATTTACCGAGTGTATACCATATATATATATATATATATATATATATATATATATATATATATATATATATATATACACACACACACACACACACACACACACACATACACACACACACACATATATATATATCTATATATATATACAGAGAGAGAGAGAGAAAAGATCAGGTGAGAAGTCCCACTTAAAATGAGAAGTGAGAAGCAATCTCAGCCCTTGGATTTGCATCTAATCTTACAACGCAACAAACTTATTGACTGAATATACAAACTTTTAACCAATAAATCATAACTTATAAAGCTCTCCATCATAATTACGAAAATGCCACCGCGTCCAAAAATTTTCAAGGTTTACAGACTAATTTTTTGCGGTGGCATTTTCGTAATTATTTTCGACGGGGTCTATAAATTATGATTTATTGGTTAAAAGTTCGTGTTTTTAGTCTATTAGTTAAACTTCGTAGTTCTGAGCCTAAGAGCACTTCTCACCTGATCCACTCCCTATATATATATATATATATATATATATATATATATATATATATATATATATATATATATATATATATATATATATATATATATATATATATATATATATATATATTGAGATTTTTTCTAAAATATTACTCCCTCCGTCCCCCTAATATTGGTACGGAAGGGAGTAGTGTGGTTCTTAAGAAAAGTAGAATTATGTTGTTGGTGTGAGTTGATAAAGTGGAAATAAAGTAAGAATGAATTAGAGTCACACAAATTTTACCATATATGGTATGAGACAATAATAAAGGGACATCCAAAAATGGAAAAAAGGGACAATTATAGGGGGACGGTGGGAGTACTGATTAAAAGTATATGGACAAAAATGTGAC